GAAATGCTTCTTCGAATCATGTAGTTTTTAAAAATTCTAACAATGATAAAAATAGTAATTAGTAGATGTGAAAAAACATTACCATTGAAATCTACCTGATGACTTTATATCCATGCTCAGATGCCAAGGAGCTCAGAAAGTAACCAACTTTGACTAGTAATAATCTGATATATAGAGATTAGATGTTCATGTGCAAACATCTTAATGTCAATTGCATTAAAAATCAAGTTTTCTGTATGAAACTGTGTATTTTAATAATGAAATGGAGATCTTTTTTAAAGGTTAAAACCTCATTTGATTTTATGTCTTAAAGGGTTTATACTGAGTACAATATTGTATAACTGTAATAATTCAACTGTAAACAAAAATTTTGAAAGAGATGCATCTTAGCTCTGGAAATTGTTACTGACTATCTCAATGCTGATGTAATGAAATACTTCTTCTAAGTATGTGGTTATCAGATAAATAATTTTAAAAAATAAGATTAAAAAAAAGAAATATGAAAGTTGTCAGAATCAAATGGAGTTGCTTGTGTCAACCTAACACTTCAAGGACCAAGAACCAATACAAAGGCACTGAAGAAAGGCTCTTACGTGAGTGCTTTGACGTCATCATCATGAAAGGCTGTCCAAACCACCATCTTACTCAGAACCTTACACAGGAAAGGCCTCTTCAAGGCTATCTGCCCACAACTGCCTGTCTGAGATCACTCTCATTATTAATCATTAGGCTAAAGATTATTATTTTAAAATAACTGAGGTAATTCTCATTTTGCCTTTAAAACCTTCCCTTTCCCTCTATCTCTTTAAAAAAAAAAAAACATAATCACTACATATTTCCATATTCCCACTCTAATATTCTGAAATTCCCAAACAGATACCGCGATTTCCTAATTATCGAGAGAATTTTTCTGCTTGTTTTATTTAGGCTGATAAATATTCCAGGTGCTCAAGAATCAATAATTCTTACTGTCATCATTATTTTGAGGAATCCGGCTTACCAGATACGTGTGAGATGGGAAAAGAAATTCTCCTTGCCAAAGGAGTCGGGGTTTAAAGGACCTGGAGCTGTTTCGGCAGAGAAGACAGAAAAATACAGACACAGACAAGCCCCACTTCTAAGAAGATTAAGAGCCTGGTGGGAAAGTGGCTGAACACCCAGGGCCTCTCTATGGGAGGCAAAACTAAAGGCAGAAAATAGTGGGGGTCAGCGGGGAGGCAAAGGCAGCTTTCTGAGGAGGACCACAGCGGCTGAAATCAGGCTGGCCAGCTCCGGGAGGTCAGCACTCCATGCTTGTCCGCAGGACCTGAGGCCATCTCAGTAGAAAGATCTGTTAGGATAACTTTCAGTTTCTAGACACTGTGCACTCAGACCAGACCCAGCTCCAAAAGAGAAGCAGAACGCGGAAATGGGAAAAAAAAAAAAAAAAAAAGTGACCTGCCTGTCCGGTTAGAAAATCCCCAAGTTAACTTTGGGATCCGGATTCTCCGGGCGTCCCGCCCCAAACTGCCACTGCTGGGAAGTGGTTGAACTGAGGGTCGGTTGGGAACACGTTTGGGGGAGGGGCGCTTTAAGAAATTGGGCGTGGCCTCGGCTACTAAGGTAACGCGGACGCTCAGGCAGGGCCTCTGCCCGGTTTTGAGGCCAGTGCTCTTCCTGTTCTTTTCATGGCACCCAAGAAAGAGAAAGGCGGGACCGGGACCGGCAGCTCTAAGCTATGGGAACCGTCACTTATAGCTGCACACTTCAATGAGGTGAGTATTGCCACTTAGGAGCCCTGGCACCAAGTCCTCTCTCTCCCTGACCCACGGAGGCCTCTCTGGGAGCACTCCCTGCTCCTTCCTCAAAAGCCCAGTCGCCGGGAGGCCTCGTCCCAAAGAGTGAACTTTTAAGAGAAGAGAGAGGGATGGAGATACAGGTCAGAGGTAGAGCTTTTCTAGCATGCATGATGCCCTCTGTTCAGTCCCCAGCTCCACAAGATAAAAATAAATAAAGAGGGGACGGGGGAAGGGGGCCTCTTCCTGTGTTCAGTAAATAGTAACAGATGCTTGCCAGAGGAAAGGAGGTCCGTTTTGACACCTCAGGACCCCCTCCAAATGATGTGTCCCAAGTGGACTGGAACTGCTATTCTTGTGAACCGCTTGCTTCTTCACTGACAGGTATCTTGTGGAATCATCTGGAGCCTGGCCCATAACAGCACTTTAATAAGTGCTGGCTGAAAACAGACATGACCGAAGCCAACAATCTGTGTAGAGGTAGAGAGGAAGACTAAGGGGCATGTTTTTATGTCAGTCTCTGTCCTAGTTTGCTCTCTCTTGCTGTGATAAAATTCTGAACAAGAGCAACTTGGGAAGAAAAGGATTTATTTCATCTCACAGCTTGCCCTCCATCGCTGAGGGTAGTCAGGGCAAGAATTCAAGCAGGAACTAGAAACAAACCACGGAGTGACCCTGTCTGCTAGCTAACTGTCTGGTACACACACTAGATTATGCTCAGCTAGCTTTCTTATACAGCTCAGGCCTTCCTGCCTACAGGATGGTGCCTCACACTGTGGCTGGGCCCTCTCACATCAATCACCAAGCAAGACACTCTCACACAGACTTGGCCACTGGCCAGTCTGATCTAAACAATCCCACAATTGAGACTCCCTCAAATAGACAGTTAAAGCTAAGTAGGGCATACCACATGCCACTGTATCTAAAGTTTTCATATATTTGAAAGGTGCAGAGACCGTAGGAGCCAGCTCAAGTTGTAACAGTGCACATAATAACCTATGGCTCACCAACCACATGGCTTCTAATCACAGAGGGCCCAGCAACAGACTGTTCCCCTTGCTGCTCACTCCCACCCACCTTCGTGGGGAGCTCAAGAGCTCCTGCCACCAGCAGCTGGAAACCCAATTGTAGACGGTGCTGTTTCTAAGTCTAAGTAGGCATTTGGGAAGAGAAAGGAAGTTTCTGGGAATTCCAGTTTGCCATTGTGAACTTCTTTAAAAGTGGAAAAAAAAAATTCATTCTATATGTGAGCATATGGCATACTGGAGACCTTGTACTTAGATCTAAATGTTGTAATGTAAATGTACTTAGATCTAGACATTGCCCTTCTGAGAAAGCTTTACCTATCCATCCTTGTTTTCCACTGGAGTTTATTTGTTCCTCTATGAACAGTAATGCTATCTGATATGGAAATTAGTCTTGGCGAAGAATTCCATGAAAACAGTTTGATTCTCTTTTTCCTGATGAGATTCCGTGGACTTCGGTGTCATTTCTATAACTTTAAGAATGAAGGATGTCAACTCACTAATTCCCAGTTTATGGTCTCAAATTCTCAGAGATGCTTGTCAAAGTACCCTGTAAAAGCACCCTCGCTTTTGCTTTTCTAAAACAGAACTGGCCAAAACAATTTTCCTCCATTTTCTGTGAGATTGTGTAGGCCAAGTTGGGCTTGAAGCGAATGTTTCTGTCTGAATTATAAACTGCTGGGCAACGGGCTTTGATGGAGGTGCTGACGTTGCTTTAGCTCCAATGTTGCAAATATGAAGCTATAATTTTCCTAGCTGAATGGAAAACCTAAAGGCACTATTTTTTCTTATGGTTTGAAAACCTGAAATAATATTCAGCTTTCTTGACCCTGCTTGAACAATATAGTTTCAATAAATCTTCTGTATTAATAGAAAAAAATTGGAATTCAAGCAATATGAAGTTTTAACTACAAAGAGTAAACCCAGTTTCCTTTGGGTTGTTGGAATACATGTTTTCTTATTGCAAAAAGAAGATCTCCACCTCTACCCATAGTTTGTGTTAGTCTGGTTTTGTGTCTGGTTCAAAAAGAAAATTCCCAGATTAACCCAGCAGGTCAATGCCCAGAAGCATGTTTTAACTATCAGAATAATAGACTCTGAATTTGTGTTAAAGATGACTGTGTATATATGAATTCCTTCTTCATATGGTTTGGTAAGGTGCTCAGCATAGTGTGTAGTACCTTTTTGTTAAAAGTACCCTTTTGTTATAATTCATGGAGAGTTTGTTCATGTACAGGTCTGTATACTTGAGTGTGTATATGTGTGTGTATTAACGTGTACATTGTGTACATGTGTACTGGGCATGGGAGAGAAGGAAGTAATTTCTCTGGTCTTCTATAAGCCAGTTTTCAGAATTAACTCATTGAAGAATCCAGATTTAACTCATTTGGGTAGTACTAAACTCATTATGAGAGTGACCTGTACTAGACCTTAAAGAAAAGAAAGTTCACAATTTGGTTCTAGTGGATTGACTTTGTTTCACTATAT